GTCATTGCTACTGGGTAGGTATTAGGGGTGTAACGGTTCACAAATATTTCGGTTCGGTACGTACCTCGGTTTTTGGGTCACGGTTCGGTAAGTTTTCGGTACAGCAGAAAACAATGATCACAAAACATAAAATATTTTTTGGGGGTTTTTAATTATTATTAAACTGTGAATAATGTATTAACTCAAATAAATACAAAATATAATAAAATAAACATTAAGGTGCAGCATTTCGATGAACTGAAATAATCTGTATTTGAACTGTACTGTACTAGTACCGAAGCAGCCAGTTTGACATTATGAATTGCTTGTCATTGTATTTTCATGTTTTTTTTAAGGAAAAATTAACTTGTCCACATTGCTTGCCGAAAGGGCAGATCTGCTGGCACTAACAATGTCTCCTGCTGTGGAGAACACCCTCTCTAGGGACAGAGGTAGCAGATACAGCCAGGTAGCGCTTTGCTAACATGGCAACATAAGGATATTTGGCGTTTGTAATAGCTTTGGCTCGGTCTGAACTTTTTGAGAGTGGTGGAGGCTTAAATGCTAGCGGGAGTTGGGTTTGGGTCTTTTTTCTTTTGGTACCGGTGATATTCACGTTCGGGTGATGCCTTTTCAAATGAGTGTGCACGTTTGATGTATTGCCAGCCACGTAACCAATTTTAGTTGAACAATGCCGACAAACAGCTTTGGTTCGGTCTACCTGTCTTTGTCCGTCATCCTTGTACGTAACTGCGAAACCAAAATGTTCCCAAACCGGAGACTTCAATGATGCTGGAGGATTTTCGAGCTTAACTTTATCTGCGTTCGCCATTTCAACGGTTCCTCAAATTACTGAATAAATTTGAACGCATCCCTGTGACCAGCTCTCATAGTAGACCTTTCTATGTATTGATTATTTCTGTATAGCCCTCATCAATTGTAATTGTTATTCACAAATATGTGATAGCTTTTATTGAACAAGTTCTTCAGTTGATGGAACGCTTCAGACCTTTGCAGAAAAGAGAGATTTTTGTTCCAACATATATCCAACAGTAATCAGTTTTCTTATTAATAAAAAAAAAGGATTCACTTAATGGTCTTCTGTGGGACAGCCCAGTTACTTGTACTGGTAAAGTGTCTAATACCAATTTACTTTAAAAAAGGGTAACATTCAATTCTAGAAAGTTCTGCAGCTAAACTGCGTGAAAATCCTGGGAAATGGGAGACACGAAGGGTGCTAAACTAATTTCACTTGAAAAACAGCAGGCCAAATTTTGTTCAACCGTTGTACATTTTTAGGAAACTAAAAATATATTTCTAAGGAAACCATTCACGAATGTCGGAAAAACATCTTCTGTTGCTTTTCAGAGAAATTATGACTCAGTACTACTAGGAAAGATCTTTGTAAAAAAACTAACAAAAAACAATGTGTTTCTAATCAAAAATTACCTGGTGAAAGTCCTTGCCACTGCTTTTACCATCGCCACTGAAATCCACATGAGAGAAGAGACAGCGAAGTAGATGCCTGTCTGCCTCAGGACCGTGACGATTCACAATCTGGGAGAATACAGGCAAAATATCCAGAACACATGGAGATATATTAGGACACTTCAAGAAGATAAATGATGAACAAAAATAACTTGATGTCCAACACTTACATGCTGTATTTCTTGCTGGCTGGCTCGATAGTTTTTCTTAGTTAAATTGTCCACCAGATAGCTGATTTGAGACAAAGCCAGCGAAAGCGAGTCAAGATTCATTGCTGTTCGGGGCGGAAGCAGGCGGCCGAGCACGGCGCAAAATCACCATTATTCCCCTTTAATCACTTCAGTGATAGGTTAATTCTGCTCCCCCCCCCAAAAGTGTAAAAAAATATATAAACGTCCAAATGGGTTTTCCGATCAGTGGATCCCGGTGCTAGGTAAAGTCCTTCAGTTTAAAATCAAGTTCAGCTTCTGTAATGAAAGGGAAAAACAAGTTAAATGTGATTTAAAACAGTGAAACAGTTGTGTAATATAAATAAAAAATGGCAAACAAAAAGGGAATTCCCGTGTTGGAAGCACTAAACTATGAGTTCTGTAGTATTACTTTAATGCAGAAAAATATTTACAATCATTTGACAACAACATGTTTTGTTACAGGCTTTGAGGCCTACGTGCATAGCAGTACAATTAAAAGTACGTTTGTTGCCAAGATAATCATCTGTTAATAAAATCCCAATATAGGGTCGACACGAGTTTTAAACTACATAGGTTAGTATGGTACGTTCACGGAGATATTGTAAAACTACAAACCTACCGAACCCATAGCTTATAACGTTACTAGGCCTCGAGTGTACCCACATATGTGGTACACAGATTCCGCTTACCGAACTAACTCACATTATCGTTAACAAAAGCATAAATACTGCCGCAGTTTTGTCAAGCAATTTAGAAGAACGTAGCCTTTAAAGCAGCCAACTGGACATTACTGTTGACTAATGGACTGAGAGAGTTAAAATCACCACTTGAAACAAAGAGCAAGCTAATGTAAGTTAGCAATATTACCAGCAAGCGATCTGCCTTACGTGTTAGCTAACGTTTGGCAGTCATATATTTACCAGAAAACCCATATGATATCTGGCTATGTGAATAAATTGATTCAAAGTAACCCTTTTGCAGACCATCCTCCTGTGGCAAATCGGGAAACCTAGCTACCTAAGCTAACATTACCATGACGCTGATAAACACTTGCTAGGAGAGAAGTTTGAGTTAACGTTAGCCAACATGTTTACCGAATCATTAAAAGCACTAGTTAAAGTTACCGGTTGAATCTGCTTCACACGGTCTTTTACTAAATCAAACTTTAGAAATATATCCTCTTATCAAAATAACTCCCAAGTGGTCAATATCTAAAATTAACCCCTGTGAAATGTTACCAACTCCCTGTAGGCTACGAGCTAATGCTATCAACTTAGCATTTACGTGAAGCTAACATTAGCAACATGAGTCCGTTTCAAGCTAGTTTGTATGAATTGGTGAAACCCATTAACAATACGTTTCACGATTTTTTTTAATAGTCAGTTTTGCTAGCTATACGATTACTAAGGTTTCATGGCCGTTACACAAACATAGGTCGTGAGCGTGAAGGCCTCAAATATTGCGGATGGGTTTTGCGCGATCGTGCAAGCTAACGTTAGCATTAACCTTGTTAACGTTAGCTCATTTCAACGGGCTATGGCTAATATATGAAATTGCTAACACTATGTGCTAGTTGCCTGTGCTAACTATCACGTAACGACGCGTAAATGTTACACCGAGTCAACATGAATATTCTCTCCAGCAAAAATGTGACTACTAAAGTCTTAGACAAGTACGTTACTAACTTTGCACGAGAAACGTTACTAAATGAATGAATTATTACTTTTTGATGCAACCAATATGACAGCTGCTTTTCAGCAAATAGACCCCCCCGCACTGGTGGCTAACGGCCATCCTCCGTATCAACATCGTTACTTTAGTGTTAAATATAGATATGTCGACGGTTGTTAACCAAATATATTGTAAGTCTCACCATGCTCCCAAGAAAGTAATTCAGATGTTCATCCCTTCTTGTTTCGCACAACAAACTTGACGAAATGGAAGGGTCGCTCTGCCTCCAGTTCAGTTTGATTTTCAAAATAAAATGGCGACTGTCACCACCGCGGCGCGCTCACGGGTCGAGTTCGAGAAGAGTGCGTGAGTTTATCCGCGCGACCTAAACGCAAGGTGCTCGGCAGTAAACACCTGGGTCAGTTGTGCATACAATCTAGTAATATCCTGTTTTATTAAATCTAGATAATGAAATTCAATCATGTTTATTGTTTTTCTTCATACCAACGCAAAATGAACCTTGTAACATTCAGGAAAACAACAGGACAAAAAATGTTTTGTGCTACAGTTTTTTTAACATGAAATGCATTAGCATGACATATGAAATAGATATAAACTCTCACATCATTTTTGAAACAACTGTAAAAACCTCATGCAAATCTCCTGTTAATCTAAGCTATAGTACAACAAAATGTAGGTTTATAATATACATGATAAATACGCCAATTCAGCTTTTTCCGTGCTCTAAACTTTACTCAATAGGATATGATTAGACATGCTGTTGCCCATGTTGCTGAACAGAATGATCTGTTCTTTTTTTTTACAAAATATGCTCACTCCCATTGCAAAAAGCAATCCCTTGTCTTTTTTTACAAATCACACGCCTGCCTAAATAATTATGGGCTCAATTGCATTGTTTCATGTCCTACGTTTTCTGTTTGGCATTGGACTGTGTACTGTATGCTCTTACATATCAGACATTTTCCTATAACACTGGTTTGACAGAATCTCAGTCATGCTGCTGTCCTGCCTCAAGTGATCTCAGTAGGCTATAACAAAAGATTGTTTTTTAAGCATTATTTCTTCTAGTAGGCTATTAGGTTCCAGAAAGCTGTAAAAATACTCAGTTACAAAACGTCCTGCATTAAAAATTGTATTTAGAAAGAGGACAAAAGTATTCACATCAAAATATACTTTAAGTAGCCTACCAAAAGTAAAAGTAGCCTACTAAAAGTAGAAGTTCATCACTTCAATGGGGGCAATTTCTAGAAATGTAGTTTATTTAAAATATTGTATATACAGTAATATGGGGCATTTGATTTATATGTTGTATTCATAATCTAAATCGGCAAAGAGACCAGTGACTGAATCCGTAAAACAAATGTTAAAAGTACAACATAGGCCTACTATAAATATTAATGAAGCATATGCAGAAGTACAAAGTTGTGAAAATACTCAAATGAAGTACGGTTACCTATTTTTTCCAACATTTGTCTGGGGTTGTGGGAAATAACAGATGGTTACATTACATATAATGTATACAATTAGGGGTCAGGGACAACTCAGCAGCATTACGGGAGAGCATCGATTTTATATAACCAGTCTGTTGTTTAAATTCGCAGCTAACGTCCACTGCACCACTAGGGGGCGCTGATGCACCTGAAGCTGGACAGTCGACTGCCAGAAGAAGAGCTGCTCCTCCTCTTCTTCCTCCGTCTCCTCCCCATTACAGGGAGGGTTGTAATAGAACCTAGCATAACATTTTTTTATCCCACTGTTATTAAAAGCTTAAGAAGCTTACGTGTGTTTGGCTGAAGCTGCAGTCCAGAGAACATGTCGTCCTGGGCGAAGTCGTCCGCAGCTGCCCGACGGCAAGCAGCTAACCCCAATGGAAGGTAAGCCGAGTGTTCTGTGTAGCAAGTTTAGCATTAGCAGCGGATATGCTAGGTAGCAGGCAGAAAACAAAACGGTGTAGGCTCAACAGACATGTTAACGTTGGTACATGTTGTTTTGTTTTGCGTTGTGCAGTTCTCAACAACTGCGTCTGTTTCGGAGAGCAACACCTTACTCCAGAGAGGAGAGGGGCGAGGAGCTGAAGGATGCCCTGGACAGGTACCTACCTTAACATTAAAAAAAGTATTTAATAACATCAGTCTGACTTGCTTCTTACTACTACTACTACTACTACTACTATATTTAAGACACTGCTTCTCTTTCAGCTATGAAGAACTAGAGCAAATCCAAAACTACAGTGGAAATGTGAAGTACGAGGGGTACAAGCATCAGCAAAATGGTGAGACATTTTCTTTATATTTATCACAAAAAGCACCGTAACAAGTTTTAATGAAGCTCCCAAAAACTTTGCACAAGATGTCATTTCTATATATATCTTTTTTTCATTATTACTTACAAAAATGCTCTATGATAATTCATGCTCTGTGTGCCGCTACTTTGTACATTTAAATAAAACTGCATTTCCTTAATAACGGGTAACCCATTGGTTTACACTTTTAAATAGCAAAGCCATCCAAAGCAGCCAAGGCCGACGGCTGCACTCCAGCAGACAGACGCAAAGCCCTGTACCAGAAGTTCTACAGACAGGTGCAGGAGGACAAGACGCCGGCCGACTGCGTGGTCCTCTCTGTCACCAACCGGTGCATGTGAGTACTTCATAACAAAGGTCTAAACCTCAACAATTCAAATGTACAATGTTTTTGCATTGATGCTGACAATTTTACAGCTGGAACTTTTTCCCCCCTTTTTTTCCCCCATTCGAGATGATTGTATGGAAAGCTTCTGTGCTTATCTGAGACAGGGATTGTATTAAGTTTAATCTTAACAATAATGCTTTTTATATTTAATTAGTTTTGCTCCCACACGTTAGTCTAATCTGCACTCTGCCAGTCTTTACTGCTGATTTGATTGACTTTTCCATGTTTAGTGCTGCAACACTTGCATCCAAGTTCACTTTGATACTTTGGCCAATGAGAACCATTGGATTGTTTATGTCCACAAGGTGTTGAGAACTGTCTTATTATGGGATTTGACAGGGAGCTGGTCAATTATTTGTCTGAAAAAACCTGTGGCATTCATGCTCATATGAAGAAGGTAAAACATTCACTTCTCTCAGCACATTAGCCTAACAGCCTTTTCTCATAAATACAATTTTGTAGTTGCATTCACATGTAACACTTATAATACTTGACGTCAAATCCACACATGTGTATCATTGTTGTATTTACATCCACCAAAGTTTCAGAGTTGTTGGATTCTGATTTGAAATGCCATTAAACAACATGTCTATTCATTCTACAGAACATGAACAATTACATGAACTACACAATCTTTTAATACAACGTTATTCTTTCGAAGTCTACTATTATTACGGACCAATTACACGCTACACTTTATCCTCATAACAGGCAATACTTAGCATTATCTGTTAGCAACATGTTTGATAATGATTCAGCTGTTGTACTAAACCATTAACGTCACGCCATTAAAGTGACCTACCTTTCTCCAATTATCTGACAAAGGGTGGTACCAATGTAATGATCATCGTGCATAAAACATTTACACTGATTACACACTGCAACAATAAAAAAAATTCACATTCAAAATACTAATATGCAAATGTAGACTACAAATCTCTGCCAAATGTGGCTGCATTTTCCAATGGGGACACAGTAACATTGCAGAGCGTATTCATTCCAAAGGCCACTCAAATTACCTAATGAACAATAGCCAGGGTTTCCTGCCATACGAAAACGGTATCTTCAAAATCAAATATATAAAACAGATGTTAAATGCATTTTACTTTCAAAAACTGTTATGAATAGTTAACACTAAACCTCTGTAGGTCTAAAAAGTGTTGGATTGGTTGCATTGACAATGATTCCAATGAAGGTATCACTATGTCATAAATATCTGAAACATAAGCTGCAACATAAAACTCTTTTCCTCTTTCCTTTTTGTGGTTGGTACATTCCAAATGCTCACTTTTTTATCAAGCTACGGATATCGGTGAAAACAAATGCTAATGGAATGCAAATATTGTTTTTGTTGTCTTTGTTTACCCAATTTTTCTCAAACAACTTTCCCTACTCCTATGTCGACGATAACTATTTTCCCACATTTACCTGAAATGGTATCTCTGCTTCTTTTAACAAATGTCACCTTTGGTTTTTGAATGTTGGAGCAAAATTTCGCAAACACCCGACTCGTTGGTTGATGGGTTAGGGTTACCATCGGTCTTTTTACAACCCTTTTTGACAGAAGTACCACCATTCTTTTCAAATTCAAAACAAATTCACTCAAGTCTCCCAGATGAATAAGACCCTCTGTTTTACCTTATATTTTAGCCAAACACATTCTTCTACAACAATAAATACATCTATGAGAGAGCCTAAAACCTAGGTTGGTCCCACACAAAGCTTTACGCAATGCTACACTTGGTTGCATCTAGTTAAAGCTCCACACAAACAGATTTCACCACTCAAAAGTAATGAAATCCATTTATTTTGTTAAATCAAACTCTCGGAGTTAAACTTTAGGTTTCTCTACATGCCATGTCACTTAATATAGAAATGTCAAGTTAACAAAATGTTTCTCTTCCTCTCAAAGGGATTACCCCAAATCGCTAAGCCAGTGCTTGCAGGAGCGTGGCCTGTCAGTGGAAATGCTCTACCTTCAGGCGGAGTCAGGCCTGACCCGGGCTCTTCAGGATGTCCGAGCAGTCGGCTCGCCGTTATGTATTCTGGTGGAGCACACAAACGTAGCTCTGTCCTCCTGCACTGTTATCATATTTTCAGAATCCCTAAAAAGTAAGTCCCTGCCCCTCATATCTTCAAACAGCGTCAGACTACCTCAGTTAGTTCACATCTTAAAGAAAATCCCAATATGAAGTACATTTAGCATGAAACTAAATTTAAATTTAAAAAAAAACAAGAAATACACCCATTAAAACATAAACATTTCAAATCCTAAAGCTACAATTCTCAATCGGCTGGAGAAAAAAAAAGTATACTACATATTAATATTCATTCTGTTAATACATACGTCAATGGCACTTCATTTACTGGCTTCCATTGACATGACTACTTTACATTACATAACGGTACACAATAAACAAACTCCACAATTTAAAAAGAAGGTATGTAAAACAGGTTCAAACTTTAAATCAAAAGGAAAACTTAAGTTAAGCCCAACGTGTTCCTTTCATAGCTTAAGCCATGCCTTTATTGTGTATGATAACATTGTACTCAAGAACGTAGCTGCTGAGGTCTGTAAAAGCCTCTGCCGCAGAAATCCAAAGTCAACCTCCAAAGGTAAACTAAAGAATTGTGACCTTTACTATCTGTTGTAAACATTTCAGGCTAAATATATCATAGTTGCCCTATTAAGGCACCATTATGTTTTCCTGTTCAATGAGGGATAATAAATGGACTCTAATCTGGAAAAAGTCTGAGCGCATGATCATCAAACTGTTCATTCTACACAGTTCGCCTCAGCAATTATTAAGGTTGGACGGATACTATCATACCTAATGGCCAAAGCTATGGAAAAGCATTTCCTTTTAAAGTCCTATATAAACCATATGCAATTCACATTTTGAAACATTATCTATATATCTATACCATGATATGCAAAAAACTGATTAAAAACAATCCATAATAGCATGTAGAACTATGTTTTCTATATTGTAGAACCGCATATTTTAAATAGTCCACAATATACAAACATATGCATAAAACAAATTGCACAAATACGCATTTAATGAAACAAGAACATCAAAACTGTGCAGTGATTTAATGTTACATGTTACTTTGTTTAACTCAAAAATAAATACATTATTGCCAACGCAACCAAAACGAAATGCAAATGTAAGTTTTGAAGCTAATATAGTAAAGGCAATATTCATTGCAACCAATCATTTAAATACAAAAATATATAAAATGTATACATTTAATTACTACTGTTATTATTGTTCTCATGTCTGATTGCACATTTGGAAAAATAAACCAATCTTACAAATCAGATATTTTCTGTCCAGGAACATAATGCAGCAATATATAAAGTGACGGATGAATGCAGATCTACAAATTGAATGCCCCATAGTATGCCCATCCTCTTGCACAAAATACACAACCTGCATTTAAAATGACTATCCATCAAACTACAAATGTATCAGCTGAATTTGCTAAACCCAACATCACTTTAAAACAAAACAGAATATCAGTATATCCTAATTGGCGTATAAATCATTGATTTTACTGCTATTTCTACGTTTTTTGGCTTGTTATGTCACCTTTCTTCCCCTTCAGTCTCCTGACACACCACCATTAACATTCCAATTCCCCCCCACTCAGTCCATCGCAACATGCCCAAAGACCAGGCCATGGACTTTGTTACAGCAGAGTACAGCCATGGACTCGTCAAAGAACGTCCAGGAAGAGATCCCGCGGAGACTGCAGCACAGTCGTCACAGCTGGTGGATGACTTCCTGGAACGAGAAAAAATCGAGCGCCACACCGTTCCCCTTGAAACCCGCCAGCTCCTCCTGCTGTTTGCCGACGGGGTGCATCTCTACCACGAAGAGCTGGGAACCATCTCGGAGTACGTCCGTTCCCGGCAGGAGCACGCACAAGGTGGGCGGCTAAATAAACTGGTGTTTGTACTCGTCAATATAACTGAATGGACCTTTTGAATTATTGGGGGCCACACACATGCTGAGACATTTTGCACCCTGATTACATTGCATTGCATTTAGCTGACGCTTTTATCCAAAGCGACTTACAATAAGTGCGTTCGACCAACAAAATACAAACTTGAAGAAAACAGAATCATATAAGTACATCAGGTTTCATAGAGCCAAAACATTTCAAGTGCTACTCAACTGGCTTTAGATAAGCCAGTCCTTTATTAGTATATAAGCGCTTTGTTAATAGTTCTATCGCTCGAAGAGTTGAGTTTTCAGTCTGCGCCGGAAGATGTGTAAGCTTTCTGCTGTCCTGATTTCAATGGGGAGCTCATTCCACCATTTTGGAGCCAGGATAGCAAACCCACGTGTTTTTGCTGACGGGAACTTGGGTCCCCCTCGCAGTGTGGGTGCAGCAAGCTGTTTGGCTGATGCAGAGCGGAGTGCACGTGCTGGGGTGTACGGTTTAACCATGTCCTGGATGTAGGAAGGGCCAGATCCATTCGCAGCATGGTACGCAAGTACCAGTGTCTTGAAGTGGATTCTAGCAGTTACTGGAAGCCAGTGAAGGGAAGGGAGTGGTGTGGGAACATTTAGGAAGGTTGAAGACCAGACGAGCCGCTGCATTCTGGATGAGCTGCAGAGGTCATCCGACCTCTGCAGCTCATCCAGAATGCAGCGGCTCGTCTGGTCTTCAACCTTCCTAAATGTTCCCACACCACTCCCTTCCCTTCACTGGCTTCCAGTAACTGNCAATATTTGAATAATAGAATAATATAGTGTAGGACCATACGTAAGGCATATTTATACTTTTTATTTTTCAAAATACCAAGCAGATCATGCATTTTAGCCATTCCTCATTTCGCTCAATTTAACACTGTCTTTTCATGGGCTGATTCTTTGAGAACAGCACCATCTACAGGCCTGGCATATGTACTACAGCGTCTCCAGCGCTTTCGAACGGCAATGTCCGTGGCTGTCTCCTCATGATTGGTGGAGTTGGCCCAATACCCGTAGCGCCACTTCTGTGACGTCATAGAAGTGTTCAAATCTGGATCAGTCTGTATCAGATCCGTTGCAGCCCCTTTTTAAGAGATTTGGTATGGAGGAAAATAGAGAGGGTTGTGTTTTCTGACACTTGGTGAGTTCCCTGGAACACCGGGGACACATATTCATGTATAAAAGACATACAAAAGTGCATTTTGCATGATAGGTCACCTTTAAATAAAAGAAGTTACAACAACATGTTCATGCCCAAGAATAGTTCAACGTTAAAGTATTGGATTCAGTTTCCAAAAGGTGTTCGCTCCTGTCTCTTAAAGGACCCTTCCTGAAAAGTCCTGGCTGCTCTGAAAGCAGTGTTTGGAGATACTCAGATATTCCCTAATATATGAGTGTTTCTTCATATGTCCTCTTTAACCTGTTGAACCCCATTGACCCGCCCCCGGGCGGAAAAACTCATCATCTGCAGGAAACAGCGTCTGAGGGCTTCTTAATGTTTAATAAACTATGAATGTTTGGTATCCATGTAACGGGAAGAAACTCAGCTAACTGATCATTATAATTCTTTTTGCAAAAAAAACACAAAGCTAACGCTGAGCCTCTGAATTAGCCACGAGCGAAAAAATGCTAACGGCGGTTGCACAGAAAAAACAGTATAACACCCTTATTACTTATCGTAAATGCAAATCAAACCCATCGATTAGCATCGTGAGAGCACACAGAATCGATAGGTGTCTATATCATCACTCTATGATAAGAACTCGCGACATAATAAACAAAAACAGACATCATAGCACGTGGCGCTAAGTAGCAGAAACGGCATAATGTCTTACCTTCGTTGTCTGATCAAAAGTTTTCTTCAATGGCATTAAAACGATAAAAACGCTGCTGAAGGTTAATCCATAGATTAATCCAATGTGTCTGTGTCACTTTGAAATGATTTCTGATAATCCATAAGAAATAAACCTACTTTTCAGATTTCAGAGCTTGAGATTGGTTTCACTTTCGTCAAACTGCCTGCGCGAAGCCCCCACTTTTTCTTGGTAACGTTGGTGTGTATGTGGAAATCCCCCTTCGATTATATTGGCTCTAACGGTTAAAAAGAGATGTCAATCATCAAAATCTAAATTTTCTTTAAAATAAAAAACATCTATATTGATTCTGACTTTTCTACATCCAACTCACAGGTTTATCATTACTTTGAGAACAAAAAAGGTATTAATGTTCCCCTTTTAGAAGTGTAGTTATGGTCATTTGTTCTGGAAATGTCATTTTCGAGCCTGAGACCTGACAAACAGGGATGGGGTTTAACAGGTTAAGATCAAGAAACTCCAAGAACATTTCTAATTGATGGTTACTTTCTCTAGAAAGACTAAACCTTACAGTAAACAATGGCCTCATGTGCTAATAAGGCAACTTTTTTGACCCATCTGATATTGGAATTGTTGAACAGCTTTAATGTGCTCGCACTACATTGATCTTCATCTCTCTCTTCTCGTATGCCTGCAGACTTATTGCCTAATTCTCGTAGTAACTTGCAACATCCTCCAGGGACAGTAACATAGAGGGATGGAGTTCTGGATAAGGACATTTGTTATTGTTGTGAAGCTGATAAATTAGCAAAGTTTGAGAAAACCACATTTGGTGTAAACCCAACTGGCCCCGTGGAAAATGCTGAGCCTGGGAACCCCCGAGTGGAAGAGGCGGGGAGCACAAGGGCCAAGGGACAAGAGGGATATCAATCCAGAGAAGTTCTAGAAAAGATGGACAGGGTTACTTTCTGAGAACGTCTTGGGCGAGATTAAATATATCCTGCAAACAGGGTTCAAAGTATGATTCTCTTTTCAGCATAGAACATTTTTAAACAACATTTTGAATCTCCTTGGACAGTTGAGCTCTCTTTTAACCAGATGAACGAGAGAAATATATGTCTATTGAATGACTATAAATGCTTGTAAATAAAGTTTTGGTTTGTTCCCTGAGCACTAACATGCTATCACATGAGGTCTCTAGATGGCACTGTCTTCCTATCAAGTATGGCATACATTTGTCTCCCAGTATCTCCTTTCATTACCCTCTCATCCCTTTTATTTGTAATTCTTAACCATCTCTGCTTTTTCCTCTCTATATTTTGTTTACGTCTTTGTTTCTTTATTTCTGTTCTCAGTCAGCTATCTTGAGTTTGCTTCAGAGGATACAGCCAAGGACCTCAGCATGTGTCCTCAAGAGCCTCATCCTTTCAGAACTCATTGAAGCGAGTCTTTCATTAACGGAACACAGAGAGAATGAGCCCCTTTGCATCAGTGCAGAGTGAAGCAGAGAATGGACAGTTTGGTAAACCACAGTCTTCCTGTGGGGAGCTTTCATTACCAAATACCTCTTTCAAGTCAAAGCTTATTTTAATATACTTAGGAAGGCCTCCTGCTACGTTCACCATGGATATATTCATTAGAGAATAAGAGAGTTTTATTCCATAGTAAGAAAACTGCAGAAGACCTGAGAGGCAAGTGAGAAAAACAATAATAGTGATACATTTTCAAGTCTGAATAATCTGTTTTCGGTCAAGTCTGTATACGTCAAGAACAAATGGAAAATGTTTCAAATTTCCTTGAAAATAATCGAACAACTTAAGTTATTTGCTGTACATTTGCAATCAAAGAAAAACTAATCTGGTAAAAGGTGTTTTAAGGAGTACTTTATGAGTCCGGAAATAGCTGATTTGTGTTGTTCATTCCAAACTTTATATGCACCGCAAACTGCAATCAAAATTTCAACAGCCTCTGCTAATATCACCACAGTGTTCCGCTTCAACTGGGGACCAGCATGCAAAGGGATGTTAAACTCAGTGAGAGCGCTTCATGGAGGCCCTGACACACCAAAGAACACATCCCGACGGACCCGATTGTTGTGTCGCCTGGGTGTTTCTCAATCTCGAGTACGCTTGCTTGGTAGCACATGTCTTCCGAGTCACTTGCTTCAGACGCGAGGAAAAAATACTTCCTGGCATTCGGAAAACAAAGAGTAGAACAGGCTAGCAAGTGTGCAGGTGTGCGTCATATGAGAGGCCCCGCCTTACATTTTCCGCCACAGATTTGGGGAAATTGGTCCGTGCGCAAAGCATTGTGGGGATTTTAAGACCGCGGAGTCTACACATGTGCAGCCTTGAATCTTCAAATGAAGTACGCTGGGCTCTGTAGAATTCCAAGTATAATGGACATTGGAACACTACTTCGGCGGCACTCGATGACGTAGTAAGCTTAAAATAGTGGCTCTGGAGCAGCTTTACTCAAGATTGAGAAACACCCACAGTCTATGGTCGCCTCACATTTCCTGCGTCTTGCCAAAAAGCGCACTGGACACACCCAGGGGCCGCCCTCCCTACAGCCGATCATGCAGACTGCGTGGGGCTCACCTTGCGGAGGGGGCTCAAGTGAGCCGAAAATGTGGTGCACCACTGCGGCGGAAATTAGTGTGGCGCGGCAAGGTTTTCGCACTGCGAGACTCACACAGCCCCGTCCCGTCCCTGTCGCGCTCGCGAACAGAGGCCTCATCATATAGAGAGGCGATCAGGCCCCGCCCCTCCCTTCTGCCCCTGGTAGCCTTATTTCGGAACCCAATTATGTATTGTGAAGGGTCACATGGGGAGAGAAAAACGGAGTACCTTTCGATCCCGTTTTGAAGTTGTGGCCATGAAGAACACCATATGATGTTTGTCAAACCTTGGGAGAAAAGAATTATTTCCTGTCAAAGATCAGAGATGTGTCTTAAACTGTTGAAATATAAGACTATGAAAATACGGCGAACTAGAAAAGCTACAAACCCCAGAGTCGCTTTAGAGTAAGTGATGTCCTAATTGGTTTTCCTCCACTAAATATAAGAGGAGGTACGCTAAGCTGACTTTAACAAGTCATGCCTGTTGTGGCGTTGTACAGGCTGTAACCATACCAGCACATTCTTTACTCCGTTCTTTCGCTTTCCCGTCTGAGAAGGGGGACCAGGCCTGGCGCTGGCCCTGGATCAGTAGGCTAACGCTAGCTAGTAGCAGCACGTTAGTTAAGGCATTACCAGCGGCTTAGGCCTTGTCATTTTTGCGACCAGGGGGAATGTAGCTTCATTGAGCGTTTCACACAAAAAAAGTCTTACATCACACGAGTGTGTTACGGCAACCATGTTTTTTTTTTTTGACTTTATAATTGACGACTCTATGTTGTAGCTCGTGACACGAATTGAACACGGATTGAAAGGATGAAACCGTTTCTCTCGCATTGACTTCATTACATAAATTTTCCGAAGATAAGGGTCCCATGGAAGTCGCGGGGGAAAGGAGACTCTGTTCCTCTCATTACTTTGCCGTGGGGCGCTCATGTTGCCAGGACGGCCCCTGGGAACACACCGGAAAAAGACTTCAGCGGACCGGCCAAAGTAGCACGTATCGGGCACTGCGCAGTGTGTGAGTGGCACAGTAAAACACTCTGCCTTACCCAGCAAGCTGCAGTAGTGTGGTATTCTTAATCAGAAGCAGGTAACTGTTTGAACTGTTTAAAATAACGGATGTATAATCAAGAATGGTGTAGATGTTGATTAGTGGAAAATAAGAAATAATAGTGTCTGTGGTGTGCCTTGTCTGCAGTGCTTCCGTTTCGCTTTCACATGGCACTGATTCGGCAAGCTGAACACCATTGTAGATGTGTATGTTGTGTTGTGTGCTCGTCGGACATGTGCTTTTGCTCGACAGCCCTCACCGATTTCACACTGATGTGTGCTAGTGGAAGTTGTGTGCGATGGGCGGTATAGATAGTGCACAAACAGGTGGCTGGGACAACACGCCATCTGAAGTGACGACAGAGTGAAGTGGACTCAGTCGGACGGCCAGAGCATCTTAACGGAGCACTGGCTGCGTGATGAAGACGCCAGAGGGTGTGGTAAGGTGAGGAGCCTGTGAACGTGAGGTGTGTTGTGGTGTGTATGGAGAGAGTGTGGTTTGTGTGTGTGTGGGTTGTGTCATGTGATGGCTGAGGTTCTGTGGTGTGTGTGCAGCTGGTAGTCGCTTTCATTATTTTGTAGGCTGGTTGTGTGGGGTGGTCTGTTGTGCTATGTGTGGTAGTAGAGTGTGTTAGTGATCTGTGGGGTGTTTTGCTGTAAAAACATACGTATAGATCTCTGTTTTGAGTTGAAGAGAGTAAAATAATGTTTGTTTAAATCAATAGATGAGAAGATCCAATGTAAGGTTTGTTAGAGAAGTAGTTGCCTGCTGCGTTGATAGTGTGTGGTGCTGTGCTGGTTCGTGTTGTGTGGTGTGTGTGTGTGAGTGTGCTCTCACTTTTTCGCCTAGGTTAGTGAGGGGAAGTCGAGAGGTGTCGAGTTGATTTGGGCTGTCGCACATTAGAGGAGAAACATGCTAAGCTAAGATGTTAGAATGGCTAGTAGTGTGTGTGAATGTTAGAGTAGTGATGTGAGTGATGTGGATGTGTGTGCGTGTTTGGGTGTGTCGTTGTTTGTGTTGACTTTGGGTGATCGCTGACAGCGTAGGACTAATAAACCCGGAGCTCAGCTGTTCGACCATTCATTGGTATATTTTGCCTTTACATCTTTTGTTGTGTGCTAGGGTGCTGTGTGTTGGGTGAAGTCATGTGGTCGAGTCGTGAGCGCGAGGGGTTCGAGAGAGTCTGGGCTGCAAGAACGGAGATGGTGTGGGCATGCCTTCCTGTGGTACATGAGAGAGAGGTTGGCTCGCGATATTGTGGTGTGTGGTGGTAGTGATGGTAGTGTGTGTTGATGATCGTGTGTGACTGCCTACACGGTGATTTTTTCGATGTAAAAGCAGATGCTTGGTGACTGTGCACAACACTGACCTTCTTTCACTCAAGGGGATGCATAGTGTTGATGTGTTTTATATGCCCAAACACCCACTTAAATTATTATCACTGCACGACGGCGTGTGTGCCTGTGACTGACACACAATATCCGGGCGTATAGTGTTGTGATAGTGTGGTGTGCGTGTAGCGTGTTCCAGTGAAAACACACCAGAAATGCATTGAAAGAAGCCTATAGATTCATGTGGTGCTGTGTGAGAGGGTGCTCGCGCGTGACTGTCACCGCTGAAATGCTGCCCTATTTCTCGTCTGCTGCGATGTGGGCTGAAGTGCGGTGCGCGCGGATGGCGAAATCGCTGCTTCGTAGATGTGTGGGTGTGTCCATGGCTGTTGTGTGTGCTGTTTCGTCGCTGTGATGCTAACACCTTGCTGCTCAGTGTGAATGTGCTGGGTGGGAGTGGGCTGTCTATGGTGTGGTCATAAGTGAGTGCTGTGGTCTGGTGCAAAATAAGCACGTCTAATGTGTGGTTTGTTCATCGTGTGTGTGGCTGGAGTGTGCCTGTGTTTGAGATCTAAGATGTGTTGTAGATGCTGCGGTAAGGATAGATAGCGTGAAGAAACACAGCACTGCGAGGTGTTGCTATTGAGTGTTGTTGTAATTTGTTTCGAACTACTGATATGTAAATAGCATGTTGTTTGGCATTATATTGTGTGTGGTGCGTGTGGTGAAAAAGCGTAGCATGACTTAGTGCTCGTTTTGACTGTGCTGTGGGCCGTCATTTTGACATTCAAGAATACCACGTGCTTCCGTGTGTGTGACTTGCGCCGTGAGTGACGGTAGAGACGATGATTGGTGCGCTCGACACGAGCGCAGTGCGGTTGACGTGTGTAAACTGAGCGGTGAGGTCGTGAGGGATGTGCACTGTGAGGCAGAGCTTTGCTGGAGTGNTCCTAAAAAAGGTTGGAGACCCCTGTTATAGAACGATACATTTGACAATTTTAAGCTTGGCCTACCATTTTATTGGAGCGATGAGGAACAGGTGGGGCTTGAAAAGGCCCACCTGTTCAAAGTGGGGAATGACAGAAAAAGTTTGAGAACCACTGGCCTAGCCAGTCTCCAGATCTCAACCCCATAGAAACTCTTTGGAGGGAGTTGAAAGTCCGTGTTGCCCAGCGACAGCCCCAAAACATCACTGCTCTAGAGGAGATCTGCATGGAGGAATGGGCCAAAATACCAGCAACAGTGTGTGAAAACCTTGTGAAGACTTACAGAAAACGTTTGACCTCTGTCATTGCCAACAAAGGGTATATAACAAAGTATTGAGATGAACTTTTGTTATTGACCAAATACTTATTTTCCACCATAATTTGCAAATAAATTCTTTAAAAATCAGACAATGTAATTTTCTGGATTTATTTATTTGTTTCTGCCTTCAGCTTCCCACGCTGAGGGGAAGAGGGGTAACATGTTGCCTCCAGGTTTGGGGAAACCCCCTCCTCTGCTCCCCACTCCACCAGGGCTGCTTCAACCCCAGTCCTCAGCCGGAGCAGGGCCCATGATGAACCACTCTCCCACTCCTCTGTTGCTTTCACCAGGTTAGTCGGCAGAGTTGAAAACTTACCTGACTATTTAAAGAGTCTTTTTAATGTTTTAATAATTAAAAGGTGGAGGAGCCAAATTAATGTTTATTAAAAAAATAACTTTGTCCACCTTGTTTAGCTAGTCTGAATCAGAATGAAATGATTGGTATTTTTTTTTATTTAGCCTGCTTTTGGTTGCAAAGTGAATAAAAGGAAAGCACGTTTATTAAAAAATTTAATTTGCTAAGGGGGCAGTAGGAAAGAGCAAGGCCCAAACTGTACTTTCTTATTGGTCCGACATTCTGCGTGGAAAATGTAATCATGAAAATCGACAAGCACAACACAAAAACCAAATGTTTTCCTCTTGGTTAACTTGTTTCTACTTTACAAAAAAAGTCAATCAGAAACAGCTTTATTACCAAGTAGGTTTACACGTTCGAGGAATTAGCCTTGCAGAAAGACCTTTATGTTTTTCAATCATTGTCTTCTGTCTCTTACACTCAGGCTCTTATCCCAAAACCAAACCTCCTCCTCTACTGTCCTTGCATCGACCGAACGGTCCGTCGTTAGGGGGCTCATCTTCACGAGGCCTGCTGTCTTCACACAATCCCTACGGTGGCCCCTCTGCTCCTCGCGGGCCCCCTCTCCACCACGTTCCCCCATACCACCAAGGCCCCAGAGGCACTCACATGGGCAGAGGAGCCCCGCCTTCTCTAAAAAGTTCACGTCCTCCACTTCTCGCTTCTCCAGGTGGGTGACTTTTTTCTTTTTACCTTAGAATTTAAATGATTGTCACTTTTTAAAAGATGTAGGTTTAAACAGTAGACTACAGTCCAGCTTTTATTGTCTTGTTTTCGGAAAAACGAAATAGGAAAAAAGTATTGATTTAACCATATCATGTAACAATTATTTCGTTTTTTCTCCCCTTTTTTCCTGATCAGGTGGCCCTCTTCAGCGACCTGGTGGCCCCCGACACTAACAACATAGACATCCACTCACACTGTTACACACGGAGGCTACTAGTACCAGCAGTGTTTTGAACATTTCACCAAACTGGAGACCAGATTACTCCTGGCGGCTGCGTGCCCTTATCTTTTTTTAAATAATAATTAACAAACATAATTGATTAGATGCCAAAATGGTCGTAATTGTTAAATATTAAGTACTTGTGGATTGAATGATGACAACATATTCTAATGACTTATGTTTTTAAGTTTCCAGGATCCCTGCGTTATCCCTTTTCATGTATTTTCTTTATAATGTACTGCAAGTTTCACCCAGTCATCCCAAAAACAAAAAAAATCTTGTCTGCCCTTGTGCACTCCATACACTTGGTGTCTAAGGTTCAGTGTCTAAGGTTCAGCATAGGATAAATGTCGACTGACTTTTTTTATTTTTTTTGTATATAATGAATTAAGCAAGTAGCCTACCAGCTGTATAAGGTGCTTCAAGATGGTGCTTAAGATTTTGTCATGAAAAAAGATTTTAAAAAAGTACTTGTGGAGCTTGTATAATCAGGGTTGAATATGATATTGACTTAATTGGTATTAAAGTGTCTTAAATCAATCTTTCATAATTGAAAAGACGGTAATAAAGACTATGATATCTTTCTGAAATTCCATTTTACAATATTTGGCTAAACAAATTGTTGAATCTTCTATGGGTTATTACATTTAATTTCACTACACATCATGTGTTTGGTCTTTATTGTCACACCAATGGGTTATTGCTCTTAGCATGCCTGTCATCCTTCCTTTTTTTCAAGTGAGAGTACGGACACTTCGTTTGGCATCCAAAATAAAAGTTGGCCATTTTGTATTGCATTAAAGCAAAAGAGGCCGCTTGTAATGTTTGACAGGAGAACTTTAAATAATATGAAGGTAATATTTGTGTCAGTAGTTGTTGCAAAATTAGTAGACAAAAATTGGTTGGTCAGCATATCAGAGTTTGAATTTCCTTGAAGCAAAAAATAAAAGAAGAGATTTGTCAAGTATTGGGATTAGATTCATTCTTCCCTTGTAGGTGCCCTCACTTGCTCACTTGCTTGCCTCACTCACTTGCTCACTTGGGTGCTTGTAGGTCCCTTCCAGGTTGTGTTTCTTATCTTCCCTTCCCTGTTGTAGTTCAGGAGAAAAACAATTGTATATTGTAGTTTTTCTGCCTTTGTGCTGTTTTTCTTAATAGCTTTTGACCCATTACTGGGTCATTACCCATCTACATTGTAGAATAGGCTGATTTTGCATAATAATGATAAAATACATTTATAAAAGAAACACTCCCTTATTACTGACTGATGTAACATTTTACAATGCTGAAAGGAACTGAATGGCATTTGGGTTTTCAGAAGTCGGTACACCTTCACGTTTGTAGTCAGTAGAGACACTTTAGACAGCAAACGAGGCCTTGAGTCTGAGTGGAATTACTTAGGTTTTCACATTCTTCACAAAACTGCTTAAGCTCTGTAAAAGGACTGGTCTAATATGTAATATTAACAGACAAAGCGCTTTACAATCTCGAGAAACTTGGAGGAGCCAGGGATCAAACCCCCAAAGTGATTGATACAGTACACGACCTAATAATGAAATATGGAATAAAATGGAAATCACCCAGAAAATACACCACAGTTACAATTTTGTTTTATGGTCAAATCAAGGTGAAATCCTATTTTTTTCAAGAAGTAGGGGTGGATTTAGAGTATGGACAAGTGTGGCATTCAAATAATCCTTAACCAAACCAGCAGTTGGAGATATGAGCGATAAAGTTACTTCCCTCAGGTTTAACCAGTTTCCTGATGTCCTCCTCAGACTGGAAGCCTAACTGTCCGTACAAGCAGTGGCACACAGACTGTAAAGGTGAAAGAGCACCAGCTGCATGATGGGAGGCACCAGCATTCTTTCTATATCCCACCCACACACACCCACACCCACATTCATAAAAACCGATTTAGTGAGGGACAGCAGTGAAAGTGTTGGAATAGTGTGTTTTTTTTAAAATTTGTATCCGTTGTAGACATTTTTTTTCAACTTGACATACATTATTGTTTTTTCTGTGTCATAAAATAATAAAAGATGGGGCCACTTAGTTTCATTTTCACATTTAAGGAGAGATCCTGTATTCCAACCTTTCGTAACACAACCACACACCCTCCTCTGAGGAACTCTGATCAAGCAGAAATAGATGAAAATCCTTATATGGGTGTATCAAGAGAGCATAGCCCAGTATTCGGGAATCTCAACTTTATTACTTGTAAATTATATTTTTCATGTATTAATGAAATGACTCCTTGTAACACTGTAATGCCCCGTTGTCATGTGATAGACAACAAGGGCATTACAGGTAAAGTGAACTCAAAACTGATGGGGGAAGATAAATGCTTCTCAGTGTAAGTGATGCATTTTAAACTCTAGATGGCGATGTACACCTGCTCTATGCTTTATACACCTGGGACAGAATTTCAACATTTCAGCTAATAATGTCGTCAAAACACTCCCTAAGACCTGACTGAAGTGAGCAGGATCCTCCATCAAACTAAAGTAAACTCCACTTCTTGATATATTCTTATGCATACATCTCCAAAATAAGATAATGGTTAAGATGTATTTGGGTCACTTAAGTAAAGTAAACACACTGTATATGGAGTTTACTCCGTACATGATTTTTATTTATAATATCATTATTTAGATAATTGTATTGGTTATGCTTAAACAATTTAGGTTTTTTTCAGGGGGAAATCCTTCGCTTTATTTAAATAATTATTTTATTTTTTGCATTTTGGTTAATCTGACAAAATGTTAAGCTTCCCAATGAGAATTTTTTTATTTTTCTTAAGGAGTCAAACATTTCACACTGCTTACTCCCATGTATGGATTATTTTAAAAAAAATCATTCTTCTTTTGTTAGAAAAAAGCAAACAGAACTTGCATCACAAAAACAGACATTATTCTACAATTTACACGATGTATCACATTTTTTACATTTACACTAGGGTAACATATACAAGTGCATACATGTGACGTATGCAATTGTTAAATGTTCTAAATCCGTTTAAACATAAGACTGTTTTTCATATTTTCAGGATCTCACATTTTTCATATTTGAACCTTTTTTTATGCCTGTACAAAAAAAGGTTGAGAGGTTTAATTCAGGAGCCGTTCTTTGGAATATCAATTCATAGTGTTATATTAGGAGGGGATAAAGTAAAAAAAAGAGATAACCATCCTGCTTCCCAAACTAAAATAAAAGCATCATGTCCTCCTTCAACACAAAATTGTTCTCAGTCATTCACCATAACGTAAACATTTTTGTTGCATTTTAGAAATGTTTTAATTGAGAGTTTCCAGATATTAGCTGAACGTTTTTATAGAGTTGTAGGAGTAACAATCTATCAAGTCAAGCAATGAAAATATATGTTTTCTAAACTGTAGAGTCACTTGAAGAAAAGTGTGAACGCTGCACGACTAAGACATTGTCTTAGCATTCTTATTTTAAGGACTTTTAAACAGATATTGCTTACTTGAGTCCTTAAGGAGGCGTATATTTTCAATGGTAAACAACTATGGAACAATAAAAGTATTGCAGTGAAATATTTTGTGTCATAGAGTATACTTCTGTAACATTTCCATGTTTTTTTTCTGTAAAAAAACTATTCATAACTTCTCTGAAAACGGCAACATAAATAAATATTATAATTATTGCTGTTATTAAGCGAGAGTGGGAGTCAAAGAGACAAACACACTGAGGGTGAGTGGATGTGTCTCATATTCTCTCCTTGTTGGTGCCTCCTCCTCTCCTCCAGCTGTGGGCGCACTGCTGAGAGGAGCCCATCAACTCAGGAAGTAATGGACAACTGTCTCCACCTCATTACACCAGCCTTCAGACAGACACACACACACTCTGCTTGGACACTGTGTGTGTGAGGGGATTGTTTGTGGGTAAAAACAACAGCAGCATACCGTTAGTCTTCAACTAAGATTCCTAAGTGAAGCATTTATCTTTCTTTTAGAAAAAGTGTTCACATGAGCTTTCAAGTTGATTAAACCATCAGGCAGTGATTTATTGTCATTTACTTGGTATGCTTTTTTGTTTGAACATTTGTACTTTCTTTACCTAGAGTTTTTCCATTAACTGTGGAACAAACATCAACTTTCAGAGAGTTGCTTGATACACTTACAAACCAATAGCATGCCTACTGTCATTTGTGTTGACAGACAGGATGACAGAATCACAACCAAGCAGCAAACTGGCTCTAAAATGTGAAGCCAACATGGAGTTCATTATTATTCATTATAAACCTGCATTCTCTCTATTATCCTGCAGGGGAAACTCCAAGGTGTGCAAAAATAAGTTTGTAACGAAGTCTATGAAAATAATTACTTTACGGCTTGCTATCCTGGCTCCAAAATGGTGGAATGAGCTCCCCATTGAAATCAGGACAGCAGATAGCTTGCACATCTTCCGGCGCAGACTGAAAACTCATCTCTTTCGACTCCACTTCGAGTGATAGAACTATTAACAAAGCACAGTTGAGTAGCACTTGAAATGTTTGGCTCTATGAAACCTGATGTACTTATATGATTCTGTTTTCTTCAAGTTTGTATCTTCTTGGTCGAATGCACTTATTGTAAGTCGCTTTGGATAAAAGTGTCAGCTAAATTACAATGTAATGTAATGTAATGTTACTATTCTCCTTATTAAGTAACTTAGTAAACATTTCCCTTACAAGTTTATGTTCTCAATTAATATATATGGTGTGCTTCAACATGGAATGAAATTAATTTGAGATATAATGTTGAAATATTGAGTACAATTGATGATAAAGCAGGAAACTCTTAAGGGCATTGCTAACTTGTGATTAACATGTACCTGGTGAGTGTTTTCTTCTTATCACAGTGTATTTTTCGTTCACGGAAGTTCAATCTAAAATATGGTTCCCTAAAAATGTAGGGAAAAAATTTACTTAATTCTACCCTCTCATGTCAACTGGTTACAAAAAAGTAATGCCAAATAAAAAATTGTTGTAGGTGTCGTCACAGTGCACTATGTCCACTAACTAACACAACAACGTCGTCAGATTTGACCTGTCAAGAACTAAATAATGTGACACAAATTCATTTTACAGCAAATTATTTACTTATTTTCCTAATTTGTGAGTTTCAATCAAAACAGACCATATTTAAACCAGTCAGATCATTATCTTCTATACTGTAGCAGATTAGTCTAATTAAAAATGGAAATGATTAAGAAAAAAATTACTAAAATGCAGCAATTTATTTTCTTTAAAAAAAAAAGAAAATCTGACAGTTATGTACAAAAATAAAACATCACAATAACATATAAGGATTTTTCTTTGTGTGGATAAACCAACCTTTAAAAACAGGCACTTAAATCAATGGTCTTGAAACTTAAAACCCCCAAATCCCCCCCCCTCACATCTTGTCTCCAACCTCCCATCCCCTCCTCTGCTTCCCCACCGTGCCAACACTGTTCCTGCTGTTTTCCCACCTCTGTCTGCACCTTCATCATTTTTTAATTCCTCCTCCACTTCCTCACTTCTCCAGTCATTGCCG